ACAAGATCCCTAAGGCCCCTTCATCTCTAATATTTACTGCTTTAAGGTTCCCCCCACCCCTCTAATCTTCCATGATTACATGTGGGATTTCATTGAATTTAACTTACTAAAAGTAAATGTGGCCATTCCAGTCTCTTAGCACAATGTGGGATGAAAAGGACACTACTAGCTAAATTAGTAAACCTGGGTTCGAGTTCCAACTTGGTTGTTAGCTTACAGTGTGCAAATCACAAGCCACCATCCCTTTTCAGACTGTAATCCCTCCCCCTACTTTTTCAAAACAGGGGTATAAATTAGATGCTCTTTAAGGTCTCTCTAGTGTTAACAGTCTCTGGTTTCCATAGATGTTCACTATTTCATTTAGCTCCTCATGCTCATCTCTCTTTTTTTTTTTTGCTCCAAGAATCAGAGGCAAATTCCAAAGGAGTGAATGGAATTTGGCTCTCTTCAATTTCCTAGCTTGCCCTCCCTGCAGCCAGTTCACTCCTAAGGCTTTCCTGCTGATTGCCAGAACCACTGGAATTTCCCAACAGCCTTCAACATCATCTTTCCTTCCTGGGGCTCCAACTAAGCAAAAACTTCCAGCCAAGTGCTGAGAGGCTATCATTGCCCAAGATGGAAATGTAGCATGGTTCAGTGGAAAGAACTCTAGATTTAGAGCCAGAAGGTCTTGGTTCAAATCCTTGTTACTTATTTACTCCAAGGAGTCACTTTTCCCCTCTGGGCCTCAGTTTCCTCCACTGGTCAAGATGATCCCCAAAGTCCCTCCCAGTCCAAAATTCTATGATCCTAGGTGTTAAGGGCATGGAAATCATCCAAAATATATTTGAAATGGAAAACCAACCCCAAAGGAACTGTGAGGGGACAAATGGGGAGGGGTACTCCTTCTGGCAAATAGCTTTTTCCACCTTCAGCAGAAATTAGTTTGCTTCTGCTTCTGCTTGCAATGGCTCCCTGGCTCACTAGATCACTCCCAGAAGAATATTCCCATTCATACAGCTGTATGTATTTTACTGTAAGAAAAGCCTTTATGGTGGGGAAAAAAAGATTACTTATAGACATCAGAATAATTGCTTTTTCCAATATAAATGGAGATTTCAGAGACTCAGGAAAGTATGAAGAAAAAACCTCAGCATGTATGTGGGGTAAGGATTCAGTTTCCTAGGATTTAGTCTTAGAAGGAATTGTAGGAATCATCTCAGCCAGGAGTGGGGAACACATGCACATGCGGCCCTCTAGGTCCTCAAGTGGGGCCCTTGACTTGCCCAAGGCAATACAGGTAGTCAGAAGCAGATTCTGCTCTAATAAGTAGTCAAAGGATGTGAACAAACAATTCTTCTCAAAAGTACTACAACCTGGGGCAGCTAGGTGGCCCTGAAGTCAGGAGGACCTGAGTTCAAATCCAACCTCAGACACATAATACTCACTAGCTGTGTGACCCTGGGCAAGTCACTTAGCCCCAATCGCCTCATCAAAAAACAAAACAAAACAAAACAAAACAAACAGTACTGCGACCATATGCAACCAAAAGTATTAACAACCACAGGAAAGGCTGCTTCATCTTACTAACAATAAGAGGAAAACAAAGCAAAAAAATGCAGAGATTTCACCTCACACCCGATAAACTGACAAAGATGACAGAAGATGGGAATTGTCCATGTGGGAGGGGTTGTGGAAAGCTGGGCACACTAATTCACTGCTGGTGGAACTGTGGCTTTGTCCACTCGTTCTGAAAAGCATTCTGGATCTATGCTTACACAGGGACTAAAATGTTCACACCTTTGACCTAGAGATCCCATTGCTAGGTATATATCCCAAGGAGATCAATGATAGAAAGGTCCAATACATTTATAGTAGCACTTTCTGTTGTAGTAAAGAAGTGTAAACAGCAGATGTCCATCATTTGGGAGCAATGGCTTAACAAACTGTGGTACATGAATATAAAAGAGTATTACTCTACCATAGAAATGATGAATAAACATAACACACGGGAAATTTAGATAAACTGATGGAAAGTGAAGAAAGAAGGGGGCAACTAGGTGTCACAATGGATAGAGTACTGGCCCTGGATTCCTGAGGACCTGAGTTCAAATCAGGCCTCAGACATATGACACTAGCTGTGTGACCCTGGACAAGTCACTTAACCCCACTGCCTACCCCCCACAAAAAAAAGTAAAGAAAGAAGAATTAAGAAAACTGTATACACAGTGTCTACAGCAACGTAACTGGGAAGAATGATTACAACTAACATCAAAACTGGTCACTTTGTAATTATCATGACCAAGCTTGATCCCAAAGAGATATGACAATGCATCTTCTTCTGTCTTTGTAGAGATGAGGGCCTTTGGAGGGGGAACATAGCATGTGCTGTCAGATTTGATTCATGTGCTGGTTAGTCTTGCTGAACTGCATTTTACCTCTCTTTCTAAAAAGTCTTTATTATAAGGGATGGGGGAGGAGGGGGTGGGTTCGGGGATACATTAGGAAAGGAAGGTCATCCAAAAAGACAAGATATCTTTTTTTTTTCAAGCAGAGCCTGGGATCCAAACCCTTTTTTTCCCTCCCCGACTCCAAATCCAATGTTCTTTCTAGAACACTGTACTCATTCTCATGCATCAGGGGAGGGAAGAGACAAAGAGGGTTGGGAAGGACAGGGCTCTAGACAAGGTCCTTAATAATAGCTGATTTTTGTTTGGTTGCCAGATGTAAATAAATGACACATGTTGTTTCTAAAACCTTCTCCTTCCCTCTTTGCCTCCACAATTAGGGTCCTTTCCTGTTATTTCCACACCGTCCAAAGTCCTGTTATTTATAAATCAGTACAAATTGCTTTTGATCTACAAATTTCTTTGAGGAAGGTGGTGGGGGGAGACTAGAATTAAAGGCCTACCCAGAAGAGACTAGGGGGGGGTCTTGCTGCCTTTTAAGAGCTGAGTGACAAAGCAGTCTCTATCACCTCTGACTACCTGTTTTCACAGGCTGCTGCTCTCTCTTGGTTTCTCACCTCCATCCTTTCTTCCCAAATCTTCACCATAGACTCTGGGCATTAAGGACAAGGAAGCAGTGTGAAAATGTGGATAGGGTGCTGGTCTAGGAGCCAGGAAGACCTGGGTTCAAATCTCACTCAGATCCATACTAGTTATGTGACACTGTGTAAGTTACTTAATTGCTCCATGCCTTAGTTTCCTCATCTGTAAAAAGGAAGGTTTTGTTTTATTTATTTTTCAAAATCTATGATCCAATGATTCCCCAAATACCAACTTGAAACTTTGTTAATATGATCTACTCTTGGAACAAAGGGTCAAGTGAGTCAGAGCAAAAGCCCAAATGAAATGCCTGGAGACCACCAAGCTAAATGCCCAGGAACCACTGACTAATCACCAGCTAAATGTTTCTTAAAGAGATTAGGAAAAAGCTGCCTAATTAGACAAAGAAAAGAGTTTTCTGGCCCCTGGGAGTTTGCCACCCACTAACCTACACCAGGAGTAAGCCCTGCTCTTGCACATAAAAGTCATCTGGAGAAAATGCAGCCTATGCTGACTTCTTTTTCCACAAGGATCTTTTAAACACAAAAGAAGCACTTATCTGTCTGGAAGGGGGTAGATAATAACAATCCACATGGATACAGCTTACTGAGAAACAGCTTATTTCAAAACAACAGTAGGAAGGTAAAACAAGCATTATTTTTACATTTTGTAGGTGAAGAAACTGAAGTTTAGGAGTAAGTACTCCCTATCCTAGAGGCAGGTGAATGGTTAGGTGAAATGAGGATCATAAAGCTCGAAGGTAGCCACCATCTAGTGTAAAGCTTTTATTTTTCAGATGAAGGAACTGAAACCCAGAGTCTTTCTCCAGGAGGGTGACCCAGGGGCTACATGGGGACAGAGACAGGAGCTCTACCCAGGCCTTTCCATTTCAAGTCCAATGCTCAGCCCATCACTTGGATTCTATGAACTTTACAATAGGATGGGGGAGGGGAGGGAGGTGACATAGCTACTGATGTTCCCATAAACTTTTCCTAAATATTTTCCTGGACAAACCCTTCTTCACCACTTGTGTGCTTGGATTTGCTCAGTAACACAGGGTTAATAAGCTCAAGGGCCCTGAATATGATGGTGAGGGCCTGGGAAATCAAACCTTGTTCTCCTCTTGAGTTCTGCTTTAGTTGACCAAGCTCCCCTAAATGAACTGCCTTGGTAAGCTCTGACACCCGGGAAGATGTATAATCTATACCCTCCCCCAAAACAACAACAACAAGAACTCACTCTCTGATCTCGGTTAGTTTTGCCCCCTTTGTGGCTCTGAGGTGAGATAGTGGAGAAAGGTTCTAAAACTTCTCTATTTCCTGGCTCATTCCTCGACTTCTTAGAATCTTTCCAAATGGGACCCCTGACTCCGTGCAGGAGCTGAATGAGAAGACTGGGGAAGAGACAACAGGAGGGGAAGAAGGAGTGGAAGAGCAAGTAGCAGAATAGAAACTTTCACCAGACCCAAGACTGAGGGGGAAGGGGTGGGTGGGGTGAGCGCCCCCCTCCCCAATGTCAGTGGGTTGGATTAGAAGAGACCTTTAAAGTCCCTTCCATCTCTGGAGCCTCTGATCCTAAGATGCAGCCAAACCACCTCATTTCACACATGAGGAAACTGAGTCTGGAAGGGATGATTTGCCCAAGGACTCCCTCCCTCTTCTGCCCTTTGGCAGGGGCTACAACTCCCTGTCATAAATGGGGAGGGTGTCAGTGTGTCCATCTGCCAGTCCTTTCGGCAGATGTGACCCAGGACTCGGTGAGCGCAGGCTGATGGGCAGAAAGGGGTGGGGGAGGGTGAGGAAGGGTGGTGGTGGGGGTGTTGCAGAGACCAGGAAAGGGACTGCGGGGAAGAGAGATTAAGCGTTTTCCCTTCCCCCACCCTCTATCCCTCATCCTTGTCCTCTTCTCCTCCCCCCAATCCCGGACCCCCGTCCCCTAGCTTCCCGCAGTCCGCCTCGCGCTGCGTCCCCTTACCCGGGCACACGCAGCCGGCCGCGGTCCTCTCCATGCGCCCTGAGCTCCTGGGAGACACCGCGGGGGGCGGAGAGGGGGCCAGGCGTCTCTCCTTCTCTGCCTTCTCTGCCGGGCTGGGCGGGGCGCAATGGGACTGGGCGGGGCGGGACCCGGCCCCCGTGGGCTCGGGCCCAGGGAAGAGAGGCCGGGAAGGGCAGCCGGGAGCCAGCGGTAAGCCGAGTGAGAGCTGGGCGGGGGACTGCCGCTCGCATCCGCCTAAAAGCGCCCAGGGCGCATGTTGGCCACGCGGGATGCTCGGTCCCCTGGGGCCAGACCAGGGGTGGACCTGGGTGCCCTCCTATCCCTTGCAGTCTAGCCCATACCCCGGGGGGGCGGGGGACGCCGGGAAGCAGGGGAATCCTGAGCTGCCTCCTTCAGGGCGAGCTCCGAGCTGGGCCGCTGGCCGTGGCGAGCGACGGCCGCCAGGATCGCTGGCCGCCGCCCATCGCCCCTTCTTTCCTTCTTTGCCTGGCCGAGTGCCTCGAGAGGCGCGGTGGTGTGCGGTGCCCCCGCGCTCGCTCGGGCTCCAGCTCCGTTCCGAGGCTCCGGTGCGTTTGGCTGCTCCGCCCTGGTGGCGCCTACTCCGGGGCCGACAGCTTCACCCCCGCGGGATGTGTCACATTTGAAAGAGTTCAGGGGAGAAGGGAGAGGGAGGGACACACACGCACGCGCGCGCACACACACACACACACACACACACACACACACTGTACACACACACTGTACACACACACACACACACACACACACCCCGCACGCATACACGGAGATTAGGGGAGACAAGCAGACACGCGCCAAGAGAGTGAGACAAGGGGAGACGAGCACACACACATAAAGGGAGAGAAGGGAGAGACCTGGGTAGACGCAGATGATAGAGAAGGGGAGAAACCCTTCCACCGGGAGGCGGGGGAGGACAGTCAGGTTGAGAAGAGCGGGGCTGGGAAGAGCTCGAGAGCGGGAAGGGGGCAGGGAGAGGACAGAAAGACGGGGTGGGGGCGGGGAGGTGCCGCAGGATCTGCAGTAGCTGTGCCCAGGGAGGAGGGAAGGGCAGCTGCCTCCTGAAAACAAATTCAACTGCTCCGCAAAGAAGGATGGGGTGGGGGTAGGGGTAAGGGTGAGGGTAAGGATGGCTCTGGAGAAGGCTACTCGAGTGCCAAGGTTTCTTAATTAGTTGTTTGGGGTCTGGTGGCAGTGGTTTAGATAGACCTTCATAGAATCACAGAATATCAGAGATGAAAGGCATCTTGGAACCTGCAATGTGAAAGCCCAAAGGGAATTTCGGGTAGAAATGTTAGAATATAAGATGTTAGAAGTGGAGGGGACCTTTGACAACATGGACCTTTTTGTGTCGTTGACCCTCTTGGCAGCCTGGTGAAGCCTATGGACCCCTTCTCAGAAGAATGGTTGTCAATTCATAAATAAAATACATAGGATTGCAAAGGAAATACATTATACTGAAATAGTTACTAAAATACTTTTTTTTAAAAGCAAGTTCATGGACAACTCTTCTCCCCTTCCCCCTTTAATCTAAGTTCCTTATTTTGTAGGAGAGGAAATGCACTTTGAGAAGTTAAGTGACTTGCTTAAGGTCACACAGCCTATTCCTATCCCTTTATGAGATCTCAGGCAAAATGTAACATTCCTTCGAATGCCAACCATTCCTCCCCCACCCCTCTCCCCCACCACGTGCTTAGCCAACCCCTGGGTTTACCAAAATACATAAGAAAAGGTGAAGGCATTGTGAAGCTTTGGCCTAAGGTCAATGTGGTTTCCGACTGGGACTGCTTTCTTAAACCTGGACAAGTCACTTTGGTGGTGGGGAGGGAGGAGAAGAATGATGTGGTGGAGTACAGAGAGGGCAACTAGGTGGTGGAGTGGGTAGAGTTCCAGGTCTGGAGTCAGGAAGACCAAATTCAAATGTGACTTCTGCAAAAAAACAAAAACAAAAACACAAAAAAAACACAAAAAACTATCAAAAAGGGGCAGCTAGGTGGCGCAGTGGATAGAGCTCTGCCTTGGAGTCAGGAGGACATGAGTTCAAATCCATCTCAGAAACATGACACTTACTAGCTGTGTGACCTTGGGCAAATCACTTAACCCCATTGCCTCACCAAAAAAACCCAAAACAAACAAAAAACCAGAACCCCCCCCAAAAAAAACCCAAATGTGACTTCTGACACTTCTACTAGCTGTGTGACCCTGGGCAGATCATTTCATCCTGTTTACCTCAATTTCCTCATCTGTAAAATAAGCTGAAGAGGGAAGTGGCAAACCACTCCAGTATCTTTGTTAAGAAAACCCCAAATGGGGTCATGAAGAGTCAGACATAACTGAACAACAACAGGATATAGAGCACACAGGATTTTGAGTCGACAGACTCCAACTGGGTGTGAATCCCAGCTTAGCTGATTTCCTCATGTGACTTTAGGCAAATAATTTCTCCTTTCTTAGCCATTGTTTCTCATTTGTAAAATGAGATGACTTCCAAGGCCCCTCCACGTTGAAAATCATAATATGTATGTTTACGTTCTCTGATCTGTCCCAGTGTCCTGATGGGGTGCTTATGTGGTTGAGATGAAGGCCCTAAATGTTGCATGCTTTCCCAAGGGAAACAGGTGCAGGGAGAAGGGAAGGACTAAGAGGTGCCTCTCTGGTGTAGGCTGCATTCTTACCTTTGTCCCTAGCTATTCGTCTACCTAAGATCCTCCATCCTTAGAGGAATACTGGAGGTAGAATTGACTGAATTAAATGTTATTATTCCAAGTTAAGGTGGAGTGCCTTGCTGAGGGAGGGGGACTTCTGAGGCAAAAAGGATTATTGAACAAGAGACAGTATTCAGCACCTCCTTTCCCACTTCCTACCTGGAGGCAGAAACTTTCTCTCCCACCTCCTGCCTGGAAGTGTGGAGGGTAATCATCATTATCATCATCATCATCATCATCGTCATCATCTATATAGCACTTGAAGGACTTTAATAATATTGATTATAAGAGCTAAATGTTTTACAAATACAATCTAATTTTATCCTCACAGCAACCCTGAGAGGTAGATGCTGTTATTAACCTTATTTTATGAGGGATACTGAGATGGGGATATTGAGGCAAATAGGTTAATTGATTTACCCAAGGTCACAGTTGGTGCCTGAGGTAGAATTTTAATTCAGGTCTTCCCAACTCCAAGCCCAGCCCTTTTATCCACTGTATCAGCTCATGGGACACTCCTCTGAAGAGAATGAAGTACCACCCAGTCAAGCCAATGGCTGAAAGTAGGAAAAAGACCTCAGTTGGCTATCGAAGACTGAGCCCAGGGAGCCCAGTGTTGACCCAACCAGCAGAGATGCTGTATCGTGGGAAGAGCTCAGTGGTCAAGCAACATCACTGTCTTGACTCAGCCCAGATGAGCTTGGCAGCAATAACCCAGTGGCAGAGAGCTTGTTTGTTCCCATGTAGCAGCCTCTAGACTGCTAACCTCTAGCAGTAGCCTCTGCTGAATGACAATCTTAGTCATTACTACGAGTACTTCTGACCCAGCAAGGCAATTTGGCACCCTTCTTATGACCTTATGGTGGGTTGGTACCCAGACCCCAATTTTGCAAGTTTCACCCCTTATGAGTCTTGGACAATTGATTTATTTGATGGGAGCTCAGGGAAGATGGTTTTTCATTTTTATGACCCAGACTTCTCTGGCATCATCTTGCTAAATAAGTGTCAAAGTGGCCTACACAATCCATCCAGCCGAAGCCTTAGCTGCTGTGAAACAGCATCACTGCCTAGCTATCTGCTTGAGCCCCAAAGTGGCCTTTGCAGCTGAGACACATTACCTTATGAGAAGCCAGCCCAGCTTAGCCATTGGTTTGGTGAAGAAATCGTTCCCTGAGATAAGCCACAGCAGCTAAATACCAGAAACAACTTGTCTTTCACTGATGCCACCCTCCACAGACAAGGTTGTGTTGGCCCTGAGGAGAAAGAAAAGGCAGCAAGTAATTCCAGTAATTCCAGAATTATTAGTTGCTTTGGCCATGCATGCTTACTACATGTGTGCCTCACTTTATATTTAGTCCAGCTCTTTCCCCTGTGGATTGTGTGTGTGTGTGTGTGTGTGTGTGTGTGAGAGAGAGAGAGAGAGAGAGAGAGAGAGAGAGAGAGAGAGAGAGAGAGAGAGAGAGAGAGAGAGAGAAAGAAAGAAAGAAAGAAAGAAAGGAAGAAAGAAAGAAAGAAAGAAAGAAAAGAATATTCTGGTGTTGGGGGAAAATGCTTGTAATTATTGTGGTTGCTATGCCATTTTTATAAATGCCTTTGCTAATGAACTGTCTAGTGGCTCTGTTAAAGAGGAATTGTTGATAGGGTAATCATTGTAATGGAGGCTCATGAGTTAATGTTAAGTAACACACAAGGTTACCCCTAGAACCCTGAAAGTAGTTGAAGATATCCCTCTGGAAATCCAAATATCAATGCCATTGAAAGATGGGTAAGACAGCCTAGAGGGTAACTACTGTTGTGTATACACTGAATCTTCCTCCTCATAACAAAGAAAAACACTTAATCAAAACCAACAAAAATGAAATGAGTCTGATGGTATATGCAATGTTCTACATGCCTCTAGGTCTCTATCTCTATATTTAGAGGAGGGAAATGTGTTTCAGTATCTATTCTCCAGGACCACGGTTGTTTATTGCATTTAATCTGAGATCAAATGCCTTTTAGTATTTTTTTTCAATTGACATTCTTATAATCAGTCTAGATCTTGTGTTCCTAGTTTTTTCTTTACTCTGCATCAGTTCATGTTGGTCTAGCCATGTTTCTCCAAGTTCCTGGTATTCACTCTTTTCTATGGGATGATTGTATCTTATCACATTCACATACCACTGTTCCGTTATTCCCTAATTGATGGGTACCTACTTTGTTTCCAGTTTCTGTTTTGTTTTGGTTTGATTTTAATCACTGCAATCTATAGGAAGGGATGGAGGTGGGAGAGACCTGGAGGAACATTTGAGAAATGTAACCATGCTGGCAGGAAGTGCAAAATCATACTGAAAAATAATAAAACCAACCCAAAATCCAGTACCTCATAAAGGCTTGGGTTGACTCTACTATTTTCAACCTTTGTGACCCTGGGCACATTCCTTCACTTCTTTGTGCCTCAGTTTCCTCATTTGTAAAATGAGGAGGTTGGACTAGATGATCTCTAGGGTCTCTTTCAGTTCTAGATTCAATCAACTATTTTTGTCTTTGTCTCCTCTTCACCAGACAAATTGTAGGTGCTGAATAAATGCTTGTTGATTGCAAGTATTTATTGATTGCTTAGTATGTTTCAGGTACTGTGCTTGGCACAGGGGATAAAACAGTCTATCATTAAAGAACTTACCTCCTATCAGGAGAGGCTACACTTTTGCATATATCTATATACATATATAAACAAATATATATATATATATATATATACACAATGTGTGTTTGTATGTACATATGTATCTATCTGGCTGGCTATATATCTTCTGTCTATTGCACTAGCTGTGGGATATTTCTTTAAACCTACTCTCACACTCAAAGTTTGGGTTCCCAGAGGATGCTGGATATTTTGGTTTCTAAGGGCAACTTGTGAATCTGTACTTCTAACATTATACAGCTTATGAGCCCCCATGGTGCACAGCTCATTAACAGTTAGGTAGTAAATACAATTAGCTCAAAGGAAAGGCATTTATCAAGAGGACATAGTAAGAACAGTAGCAACAAAAATATTCCCACCATAAGCCGGGGGAGCATTTTCCCACATATACTCTTTCATATGTGTATAAAATAGCTTTCATGTGAAAAGTGGACATAAATTTAGAGTGCTATGGTAGTGTTGTACACACGTAGAGAATCTGTGACCAAGGCAATTTGTGATTCCAGAACTCCAGGGCTTTGATATATTTTCTTTATGGATTACTCATGAAACTCCCTCTTTAAGTGCAGCATCTTGGTTAGGCAGGTTACTCAACTCAGCTGCTATATCTCAGCTTTTGACTACCAGGGCTAAGTCTCTCTTGAGTCCATTGCTAACTCTCTTCTATGATGCCAGAGCTCACAATCTTCAAAGCTGCTTCTGACCTCAAGTGACTACTCTTGGCCTCTTTGGCGAATGTGTGACCCTGTTCCCTGATGCATGCATCTTAACTGTGCTTAGAACTTACTTGAGCTGAGAAGCTCTCCAGCTGCTGAATGGGGTGGATCAAACTGTGTGAATAGCATCATCACTGGATGGTTGATTGGGTGGGAAGAAGAGAAACTCTCCTCCTTCCCCTTGCTGCCCTCTGGTATAGGCATAAGTCTCATATTCTACAACTGCTTGGAGCATTTTACCCCGTATATGTACTCTAAATAGAATGTTTTACTAGTAGGGAGTGAGGGTGCAGTTGATTACCCTCAAGCTTGTGACTGACTCAAAGATTTAAATTCCTCTGGGCATGCTGACAATGTTTTTGTTCATCTAATGGTCAGATTCCTTTTAATTTCATTGGATAAAGATGTTCACACTTTGTAAAAGAGAACACGAAGTGTTAACACCTTGTTTAGGCATTGGTATTTCTTATCTATGATTATATCTGGTGACTACATCAATCATAATTGAGTAAGGGGGTGGAAAAATCAGTTCCCCTCTCTCTTATATATAGCACACACAGGCATACCTCAGAGACATTGTGGGTTTGATTCCAGACCACTGCAATAAAGCAAATATTGCAATAAAGTGGATCACATGATTTTTTTGGTTTCTCAGTGCATATAAAAGTTATATTTACACTATATTGTAGTCTATTAAATGTGCAATAGTATTATGTGTCAAAACCCAATGTACATACCTTAATTAAAAAAAAGAACATGCTAACCATTATCTGAGCCTTCAGTGAATTGTAATCTTTTTGCTGGTGGAAGGGCTTGCCTCGATGTTGATGGCTGTTTTCTGATCAAGGTGGTGGATACTGTGGCATCCAAGGTTGGGGGGGGCTGTGGCAAGTTCTCAAAATAAGACAACAATGAAACTTGCCTCATCAATTGACTCTTCCTTTCACTCAAATACTTAGAGACCATTGTAGGGTTATTAACTGGCCTAATTTCAATGTTCTTGTGTCTCAGGGAATAGGGAGGCCTGAGGAGTGGGAGAGAGACCAGGACAATTGATTGGTGGAGCAGTCAGAACAAACACAACATTTATCAATTAAGTTCACCTTTTGTATGAGCATGGTTCCTGGAACCCCAAAACAATTACAGTCATAACATCAAAGATCACTGATCACAGATCACAATAACAGATATAATAATAATAATGAAAAAGTTTGAAATATTCCAAGAATTACCAAAATGTGACACAGAGACATAATGTAAGCATATGCTGTTGGAAAAATGGCATCAATAGACTTGCTTGATGCAAGGTTGGCACAAACCTCCAAACTGTAAAAAACTCAATATCCTTGAAGCACAATAAAGTGAGGTTCAATAAAACAAAGTATACATTATAAATACAGGATAAATTTAAGAAAGGTACTAGCAGCTAGAGGGATCATGAAAGGCTACATGTAGGAAGTGGTATTGAAGTTGACCTTTGAAGGAAACTAAGAAACAAATGTTTCTTAGGAGGTAGAGGAAGGAGTATGTTTTGGGTCTCGGGGATAGACCGTGCAAAGGAGGATGGAGTTTTGTATGTGAGGAATAGTAATAAGGCAAGTTTGGCTGCACTAGAGTGGGCATGAAAGGGAATAATGTTTCTTTGGAAAGATAGATTGAAGCCAGGTCTTTGAATGCCAAACAGAGAAATTTGAATTGGATCCTAGAGGTAATAGGGAGTTACTGGAATTTACTGAGTAGAGGAGCACCATAGTTAGACCTCTGTTTTAGGAATATCACTTTGGGTAGCTACATGGAAGATGGATAGAAGAAGGGAGTGGGGAGATTTGAGGCAAGAAGGCTGATTAGGAGGCTGTGCTAATAGTTCAAGTGAAAGATAATGAAAACCAAAACTTGGGCTTTCTAAGGAAGATGAAGCTGGATTTTGAACCCTGTTACTACTGATTCCAAGTTAGATTCCAAGCTAGAGGTTGACTATACCACTGACATAAAGTATTTGAAATCTGTGTTAGCTCAGGGACTCAGGTGTAATTGAGGATCCCTTGGACATTTGCTCCAAATGGGCTGTTCTCCTAGTAGGGATTTTTTTCCCCAGAAAGGTATATAACCAAATGACCTCTGAGGTCTTTTTTAACTCTGAGACTCCAGGATTCTGTGGTTGTTTGGGAGACTTGCTCAGTGTTAAAGGGATACCTTTTCTTTTTCAATCTGTTTCTTTGCCCTTTTCACACTATTGGAGAGTTGACTCTATCGTCATTGTTCATTGATATCTCTAAATGGGTGCTACTGAGAGCTAGTCCCATGCCATCCAAGAGAATGAGAAATGTTGGGAAGTAATATAACTAACCCTTTTCCTTAATACTATTCACTCTGAATTGTTTCTCTAGGGTTTCTTGGGCCACTGTC